TAAAAACTAAACATTAAAATCGAGATATATCTCACTGCATTGTGCGAGTACCCTTTTAGTTATATATATATATATATATATATATATATATATATAATTGGGATCATGTGAGACCAAGGGTTTTTTATGAGACCCATAAGACCAATTCTCAACCCTTTGATTAGATCTACAATCTGAACATTTATAATCACAAAATTGTCACGAGACTTCTCAATAATCACAAAATTGTCACTATACAACTTTAGACCATTAGATCATTAGCTTATAAAATTGATCAATGAATATAAAATGGTCTTAAGGGTCTCACGAAAAACCCTTGGTCTTAAGTGAACCCAACCCTATATATATATATATATATATATATATATATATATATATATATTAGTATTAAAGTTTCATCGTAATTATTTTATAAAACCTAAAATAATTTAATCTGAAAGTTAATTTTTATGATTAATTAGTTATTTTAATGGATGAGATATTTATAGAAACCATTTGTATTGAATTTAAATAAGAAAAAAGTTCAAAAAATTAAAGAAACTATTTTATTTTGAATTATTAAGTTCTGTAACTTTTTTTGGTTGAATACATTGTTGAACTCTTTTTATGTTGGATGATTAAGTCTTTGCATTTTTTTTTTAATAATTAAATGATTAAGCTTTTTTGAAAATTGGTTACTTAAATTATTTCAATCTTTTTAAAATTGTATAATATAAAAGTTATTTTTATAAAATGATTTGAAAAATGTAATCAATTTTACAAAAAGTAGTATTTATAATTTTTTGGGTTATTTTAATATTTTTAAAATGATGTAAATTAAAGATTATGAATAAAATAATATAAAAAAATTAATATTGTGCAACTCACAGAGTTGCAATTATCTATACTATATTATAAAACATTTGGCTAAAACTCTTAAAAACTCTTAAACCCATTTATCCCTATCCGATTTCATCTCATATCTGAATTCGTATAACTAACTGCAGATAAATACAATCAAATACAGGATAAACATCTTATTTTAAATATAAAAAATCTAAAATATAATTAGGATAATCATTGAGTTCTAACAAAATACTTAATTATTATC